GGCATCCAATAGTCCGGCACTCCCGATAGTGCGGCATCAAAATGGCAAGAGCCTAGTGAGTGAGCTTCGGCAAAAAATGAGTCACAAGGTAACAGCGGCAGCAGCTGAACTGAGCAAAAAGGGTAAAAAAGGCTTAAAAAACCTAAAACATTACAGTATACTGTATACAGTAGGTACAATAAACAGAGTTAAGAACACTTTATATACAGTATATAATGTAGACAGTATATATATATATAACCAGTTTATAGTACCTCCTGATAGTCCGGCATATCTGATAATCCGGCACCACCTAGGTCCCATAGGTTCCGGATTATCAGAAGTCTACTGTAAATGGAACCAAATGCTTTTCTCTGTATGAAGCTTTGAACTAATATGCAAAAAATATCTCAAGCCACCTCTTTTTTTTTCTTGCTAACTGCCTGAAAATGCCCTCAAGTTTGCCCTAAAGTGCTGTGTTCAATTTCCAGTGCCTCTCTTTCAAATGTGTCCCTGATTTTTACCTTAATGTTAAGTATCTTTTAGCATTCTGGGCCTGATCCAACAGTCCTGGAGTCAGTGGGAGTCTTTCCATCAATGTCAATGAGAACGGGAGCAAGCCTAAAGTCAGGTTCAGTAATTTTTGCTATTAAACACACACAAAATATAAATTAAATGAAAACCCACATGTATTTTAAAAGCATAGCAACCCTATGGGAGACTGTTCTAAATCACTGCTTCTAGGTGCTTGGATGGTCTGATGGTCTTAGGAAATTGTTAGTCCTTATACCAATTCTCTGCAGCATTAGGCAAGTTATTTATCCTTTCCCTGTTTTGGATTCCACATGAGTAAAATACAGACAGCAATATTTACCTTGTTGCACCTGGATTGTTGGGAGTAATACTTTTGAAGATGAAAGCTGCTAAGTTTTATTATCCTTGCAATTAAGAAATTTCCCAAAGGGAAAATTATTTTCCAGAAGGAGAGAACAACAACGGAAGAATCAGGCTGATAAGTAGTACCTGCATTACAACTGGATCACTAAGCTTTCCCACTTGAGGCCATCTCCATTCCCTGACTATTTCTCCATCTCTATTAGTCACCATGCCTCCTTCTTGATTGAACATCATTGCAATGACGTTACTATAAACAACCAGAAACACAAAGCCGATTTTGAATGGTTTATGTTAATAAAATATCGGTAGTCCAAGGACTTCACTTTGATCTAAGAGTTTTTAATTAACATAACCCTATGCACATCCAGCACTTCATAGTGATTTTCATACACTCCACCCCTGTTAGGCAGATACATATTATCTCTGCTTTACAGATGGAGTAGTGAACCAAAGAGGAGTTAAATGGGTGTTTTAATAATTAAAGTGAAATGTGAGAATGTATGAGAAACTGACTAATGCATGGTGAATTTAAATACTTATTTCTACTGCACTATCCAAAGCATTACAATTCTTCATATGCCAAAACAAATTGGAAGGAAGAAAAGGAAAATAAGGAAAAGATAGTCGTGTTTATCAATCAGTCAATCAATCCATGTAGTTAGGATTCCTGAGTTGCTTTTTTAGGGAATCCTTCTGCTGTATTTCCCTTTTGTGTTCATTAGCAACAATAAGCATCCATTTACTTCTATCTCTGGCAGAAACACATCAGCTGACCTGTTTCAGTTCAGTGTTCTGAGAAGATGTCACAAATGGCAGAATAAAAGGAATAAGACAGAGCTAAAATTAGCATGCCAAACAATATGGCATGTATTTTCAATTAAGGGCCTCAAAATGAACTTTAGTTTTACTAAGCAATTATATCTTAATCACCATTATTATTCAAAACAGATGTGGTTCGACAATGCTACAGAAATATTTATTCTAGTACAAAGGACCTAATTCTAGCCCAATCTGTAAATACTTCCAAATGAGCCCCTCTCCATCCTTCCACAAAGGCACACAGATTACCTGTGATTTGGCAAATACTTAGAATGAACATTAATCAAATACTGCATTTAACAAATAGTATTTGATGAATTCTCTTTGTGATAGTCATGAAACAGTGTAGGTAGGCAACTGTGTATGTGTGTGTTTGTTTTCCTGAGAGCTGTGGCTAGGGAATGAATACAGTAATCTGTGGCATGTGCCTTCGTGTCCCAGGTTATAAAGGACTTGCAGGGTAGCCTTTCTTCAAGTGTCTGAAGGAGCCAGTATTGGGATGGAAAATTTTTGCCAGATGATTCCATTGGTGTGTGTGGATTTTCTGGTATGTGCCTATGCCTTCTGTCCTTCGGTGATTTAGCTGATGGTGGTTGTATCACAATACAAGTCAGGAGCCAGTTTTGAATGATCTGCATTCTGCTTCAAAATCAGGCTGATGGAAGTTTTTGGTAGTTCAAAATTTCTGACTTTATGTACACTGCCATTCCATCAGTGTGAGCAAATCAAGGGTTTAGATGCAGAAAAACTTTTGCTACCCCAAATTGTGGTTGCTTTAGGCTTTCTTGGGGATGGAGTATAATTTTAATAGTTAAAAACTGTGACATAAAAAGTGTGATTCAAACCCAGATCTGTGGCTGTGAGATCAGATTGCATCATGCACATTCATTTATTCATGGCTTCAAGCATTATCTTAGGTTCTTCCATATTACTTATCAAACTTAATATACAGTATGTTAGCAAGTACTCTGAAATATAACTACTTACCTGTTATGAAGGCTAATACTACCATGTCCAAAAGGTGTAAAGCTTCCAAGTATTCTCTGATCTGGAGAGGCAGAGAATATATTGGTGTACACACCACCACGTGGGAGATCGGAATAGCTTTGGCAGACTGCAGGACACCCAGAAGGATAGCTGAAGGTACAGTTAAAGAGTTTTACTTTTAGCTGTTAATGAGAACTCTGGCCCTGGTTGTGACTTGGGTTATATGCCTGGACAAGGGAGTAAAAGAGGCTAAAAACACACTTTCTTTACAAATCTTGGGCTGTCTGGATGTTGAGTTCCATTGCATAGGAGTAAGCAGGGCTGATTCCATGTTTATCCCTCCCCCAGAGTGAAAGGGCAGGGAGAAGTGAAGAATAGACAGAGCCTAGACTCCAAACTCCAGCCTAGACTCCAAACTGTGTGAGCCAGCAGAGGCTGGGTGGTAATTTTCTGTTGGTTGAGGTCAGTGTCAAACTACTTGCCCTCTCATGAGGAAAGGGAGAGCTTGTGACTGAGAGGTATATTCTGTACCTAAAATCACAAATTAGCCCTGCAAAGTATCATTGGTAAAGGTCTATCTGTTCATGTTCACAGGATTCCATTGTATCACCTGGAGACTTAATTTATTTTCAATGAACAATTCACTACTACTGTTCATATGGTTTATTGACTCCAGTTGCTATGTGGGAGACCTGGAGTGGGAAGCAAGTACACTTTGTATACAAGGAAAGCACTGCCGCCCTACAAAGGGACGTTCTCCAAGCCTTCGGGGGTTGGTGGTGTAAACGAGTTGTATTGCTCACAGCTTACTGCTGACCAGTTTCAAAAGGATGCAGCTGGTGTAGCTTTAAAAATAGAGAGCAATGGCAGCCCAGAATGATGGAGAGGGGAAAAAAATAAATTTTGCGATTAAATTTCCTTTAATTTGTTGCTAATGAACATAGGAAAGTGTGTGAAGACAAGGCTTCTGATCTCCTGCCCTGTGATCATCTAAAATCAACCAATAAACTTACACAGTGGGGTTTTTTTAAAAGCAGAGTCCCAAATACAATAAAAATTAGATTATTGGAGCCCCTTTCATCCAAAACTTTCAGCCCAGTGTTGGCTCTAGATCCCTTATCCACTGATATCCCTTTATATATCTTTAACCTCTTATATGCTTACATGGTATAACTTACCCACATCCATCCATTTCTCATCTGAGGAAGTGGGTTTTGCCCATGAAAGCTCATGATACTATATATGTAATTTTGCTAGTCTCTAAGGCTATGTCTAGACTGCAAGCCTCTTTCAAAAGAGAGCGTCTAGACTGCACGTTGAACTTTCGAAAAAGCGGCTTGCTTTTTCGAAAGAAAGCATCCAGTGAGTCTGGATGCTCTCTTTTGAAGAAGCCCTATTTACATTCAAGAACGCCTTCTTTCGAAAGAGGAACTTTCGAAAGAAGGCGTTCTTCCTCGTAAATTGAGGTTTACCGCCATCGAAAGAAAAGCTGCGTTCTTTCGATTTAATTTCGAAAGAACGCGGCTGCAGTCTAGACACAGGTGAGGTTTTTTCGAAAAAAGGCTACTTTTTTCGAAAAAACCCCTGAGTCTGGACACAGCCCAAGGTGCTACAGGAATACTCGTATTTTTAAAGTTACAGACTAACACAGCTACCTGTCTGAGACCTTTGAGTTATAGTTTAGCCTATGCCCCATGCACACAGTACAGAGCAAGGGGCAAGATTTTAAACATTTCCCTAAGGGTTTAGGTGGATTTTGGTGGCAACTGTGAAGAACAATATTTTCTTCTCACTCCAGGACAACAGAAAAGGTTAATGCCATTAGCTTCCATACTCAGAAATATAACCTCCCCCTTTCTTGGCTTTTCAAAATTGGGATCACTAGCCATTGATTCCAGCCATGGGTACATTGATATCTGCTTCCTCCTCCCCTGCACATACACCCTGGATCCACTGACTGTCCTGACTTCCTCCCTGTTATTAAGTAGCACTTATATTTCATGTAGTCGAGTGCAGAACTTCCAACACTCAGCCCTCTATCAGCAGCACTAGTAGGGTTGCCAGGTGTCCGGTTTTGAAACGGACAGTCCAGTATTTGCGCTTTCTGTTCAGGAAACAAATTGAGAAAATATAAATGTCCAGTATTTTCTAAATAAGATGTAATGCAGATTGTGATATAATGTCAAGTGTGTCTGGTATTTTTGTTTAAACCATCTGGTAACCCTAAGCACTAGCAAGACATGGAATCCCCTGGGTAAAAAGGGACGTTTCCTACACTAGTCACCATGCAAGCCCCCATGTGTCCCGTGGCCTTCAGGCCCCACCTAATCAAGAGAAGGCCCATTTTGGAGTGCCAGCCTGTTCCTCTTCCCTCATCAGATTCCCCTCCCCCACATATTGACCAATCAGTTGAACAATGGCTGCTGTGAGTGAAAGGGATTCCTCCAGCCAGTCCAACTTGGAGCTAGAGAAAGGCGGTAGGTTCCTCTGTCTGTCTTTCTCACCATTCCAAAGGCTTATGGCTGACAGGGGAAATGGGAAGAGAAATTCTTGAGTTTTGGACTGATGCTACACAGCACCAGACAGGCTGCTAATTATCTAATCATTAACAAGTGACTCTTCCTTCCATGACATCTATGTAACCAGAGGTGGAGGACCTTCCTCTCAGCCCTCCTTAGTGATAGTTCAGGCACCAGAATCCATGTAATCAGAGAATGTGTGTGTGAGGTGTTAGGAGAAAGGGCCCAGTGGCCAGCAGCAGCTACCAAATTGGTAATAGTGCTCAAGATTTTGGCTGGCAAGAAGGAATGAGAGGGACCAGAACACCGTGCAGATGTCCATTTGCTTTGTCAAGATATGACTCTGACGGTATGCATCACTGTTATCATTTCAGGGCAAGGCAAGAAATAGATAAACAAAATGGTGATGTCTTGCTCTTTTAAATTTACCTATGATTTAATATTTAAACAAAACATCTTCTGAATCCTTGTATTTTGCCTCTTGAAACCCTTCCCAAATCTTCTGACCATTGCTATATTTCACTTGTACTGTAGGAACTTAAAGGATATTAAATCAAAGATGAGCCATCTATCAGCCTGTAATGAAGCTTTTGTAACGTTGGGACTGCTTGCTTGATGGCTGGTATTTGGGGTTTTCCATTCAGTAGCTCAAATAAGGTCTTGCAGGTCCTCTCCTTAAATTTCTTGGGAATATTTTCTCTCACAGCATCACCATAATGCCGGAGAATAACTGGTTGGTCAAATCCCGCTTCTTTCAGCTTAGATATCTGATTGTTTCTGTTGAGACAGGGAAGAAAGAAAAACAGACCTATAATATTAATGATAATTTCTCAGTGAGCTAAATCCTAATAGTCTTACCTATGCACAACTTCCACTAATTTAAAAATGTTTGTCCAGAGTAATAGCTACAGGATTTACTTCACTGTTTCCCCAATTTAGGGTGAGATTAGCAAAGATACTATCTTAATTGGATATTCACATCCATTAGTCAGCTTTGACAATCTGTACCTTAGCTACTCAGCCATCAACTGCTGGCACTGCAGTGGTCAGAAGCTTTGACAATCTGTACCTTAGCTACTCAGCCATCAACTGCTGGCACTGCTAACTGGTGGTCAGTATCTCCCCCAATGTGCCTTGGTAATACCAGCATCTCAGTGAAGTGCTTGTTTACTATTAGTAGTAGCACCACTAAAGCAGTGATTCTCAAAGTGCATCACGTGAGGTTGGAGTGCCAGCACTGCACCTGCCCAAGTCTCATGGGCTGAATTCCTGCATTTTGCTTCAGCTACCCCAGACTAACACGGCTACATCTCTACCACTATTGGTAATACCAGCATCTCAATGCTGGCACTGCTAACTGGTGGTCAGTATCTCCCCCAATGTGCCTTGGTAATACCAGCATCTCAGTGAAGTGCTTGTTTACTATTAGTAGTAGCACCACTAAAGCAGTGATTCTCAAAGTGCATCACGTGAGGTTGGAGTGCCAGCACTGCACCTGCCCAAGTCTCATGGGCTGAATCCAGCTCACAGGGGGAGCAAGCGGCTCTGCGCGCTGCCACTCCCCTCTCCCTGACTAGGGGAATAGGAGCGCAGGGAAGTGCTGCCTGGAGGCTTTCTCCACTGCTTCCATTGGCTGGAATGTGGCCAAAGGGAGCAGTGGGAAGTGGTGCCTGGGAGTGGCGGGAGGCACAAAGCCAAGTAAGCGCCCCCACCTCATCCTCCTTCTGCATAGACCCTCACTCCCATCCTCCTCACACACCCTCCTGCCAAGACCCTGTACTCCCAGCCTGTTCCTACACCCTCCCTTGCTTCTGAACCCTCCCTTTTGGCCAGACACCCCACCCCCAGCCTACTTCTGCATCCTCCCCCCTAGCCAGATACCCCACCCCTGGCCTGCTCACACACCCTCCCTTCCACCCAAATACCCCACCCTCAGCCCACTCCTGCACCCAGCGGGGCTGATAGCTAATGCAGGTCCCAGGGCAGGTGTGGGAGAGGCTCTGCACCCTCAGAGGTGGGGCTGAGAGTAGTCAGTCTTTAGCACCAACTGGATTGCAGAGCTGTCCCCTCTTCCCTCCATACTCAGAAATATAACCTCCCCCTTTCTTGGCTTTTCAAAATTGCGATCACTAGCCATTGATTCCAGCCATGGGTACATTGATATCTGCTTCCTCCTCCCCTGCACATACACCCTGGATCCACTGACTGTCCTGACTTCCTCCCTGTTATTAAGTAGCACTTATATTTCATGTAGTCGAGTGCAGAACTTCCAACACTCAGCCCTCTATCAGCAGCACTAGTAGGGTTGCCAGGTGTCCGGTTTTGAAACGGACAGTCCAGTATTTGCGCTTTCTGTTCAGGAAACAAATTGAGAAAATATAAATGTCCAGTATTTTCTAAATAAGATGTAATGCAGATTGTGATATAATGTCAAGTGTGTCTGGTATTTTTGTTTAAACCATCTGGTAACCCTAAGCACTAGCAAGACATGGAATCCCCTGGGTAAAAAGGGACGTTTCCTACACTAGTCACCATGCAAGCCCCCATGTGTCCCGTGGCCTTCAGGCCCCACCTAATCAAGAGAAGGCCCATTTTGGAGTGCCAGCCTGTTCCTCTTCCCTCATCAGATTCCCCTCCCCCACATATTGACCAATCAGTTGAACAATGGCTGCTGTGAGTGAAAGGGATTCCTCCAGCCAGTCCAACTTGGAGCTAGAGAAAGGCGGTAGGTTCCTCTGTCTGTCTTTCTCACCATTCCAAAGGCTTATGGCTGACAGGGGAAATGGGAAGAGAAATTCTTGAGTTTTGGACTGATGCTACACAGCACCAGACAGGCTGCTAATTATCTAATCATTAACAAGTGACTCTTCCTTCCATGACATCTATGTAACCAGAGGTGGAGGACCTTCCTCTCAGCCCTCCTTAGTGATAGTTCAGGCACCAGAATCCATGTAATCAGAGAATGTGTGTGTGAGGTGTTAGGAGAAAGGGCCCAGTGGCCAGCAGCAGCTACCAAATTGGTAATAGTGCTCAAGATTTTGGCTGGCAGGAAGGAATGAGAGGGACCAGAACACCGTGCAGATGTCCATTTGCTTTGTCAAGATATGACTCTGATGGTATGCATCACTGTTATCATTTCAGGGCAAGGCAAGAAATAGATAAACAAAATGGTGATGTCTTGCTCTTTTAAATTTACCTATGATTTAATATTTAAACAAAACATCTTCTGAATCCTTGTATTTTGCCTCTTGAAACCCTTCCCAAATCTTCTGACCATTGCTATATTTCACTTGTACTGTAGGAACTTAAAGGATATTAAATCAAAGATGAGCCATCTATCAGCCTGTAATGTAGCTTTTGTAACGTTGGGACTGCTTGCTTGATGGCTGGTATTTGGGGTTTTCCATTCAGTAGCTCAAATAAGGTCTTGCAGGTCCTCTCCTTAAATTTCTTGGGAATATTTTCTCTCACAGCATCACCATAATGCCGGAGAATAACTGGTTGGTCAAATCCCGCTTCTTTCAGCTTAGATATCTGATTGTTTCTGTTGAGACAGGGAAGAAAGAAAAACAGACCTATAATATTAATGATAATTTCTCAGTGAGCTAAATCCTAATAGTCTTACCTATGCACAACTTCCACTAATTTAAAAATGTTTGTCCAGAGTAATAGCTACAGGATTTACTTCACTGTTTCCCCAATTTAGGGTGAGATTAGCAAAGATACTATCTTAATTGGATATTCACATCCATTAGTCAGCTTTGACAATCTGTACCTTAGCTACTCAGCCATCAACTGCTGGCACTGCTAACTGGTGGTCAGTATCTCCCCCAATGTGCCTTGGTAATACCAGCATCTCAGTGAAGTGCTTGTTTACTATTAGTAGTAGCACCACTGAAGCAGTGATTCTCAAAGTGCATCTGCAAGCCACTAGTGGTCTGCAGCCAGCTTGAGGCTCAGCCTCTGCCCCCTGCAGTGGGGGGCCCATGCTGCTGCTCCAGCTCCCATCCCTCCCCATGAGGTTGGAGTGCCAGCACTGCACCTGCCCAAGTCTCATGGGCTGAATCCAGCTCACAGGGGGAGCAAGCGGCTCTGCGCGCTGCCACTCCCCTCTCCCTGACTAGGGGAATAGGAGCGCAGGGAAGTGCTGCCTGGAGGCTTTCTCCACTGCTTCCATTGGCTGGAATGTGGCCAAAGGGAGCAGTGGGAAGTGGTGCCTGGGAGTGGCGGGAGGCACAAAGCCAAGTAAGCGCCCCCACCTCATCCTCCTTCTGCATAGACCCTCACTCCCATCCTCCTCACACACCCTCCTGCCAAGACCCTGTACTCCCAGCCTGTTCCTACACCCTCCCTTGCTTCTGAACCCTCCCTTTTGGCCAGACACCCCACCCCCAGCCTACTTCTGCATCCTCCCCCCTAGCCAGATACCCCACCCCTGGCCTGCTCACACACCCTCCCTTCCACCCAAATACCCCACCCTCAGCCCACTCCTGCACCCAGCGGGGCTGATAGCTAATGCAGGTCCCAGGGCAGGTGTGGGAGAGGCTCTGCACCCTCAGAGGTGGGGCTGAGAGTAGTCAGTCTTTAGCACCAACTGGATTGCAGAGCTGTCCCCTCTTCCCCAGCTGCCAAAACCATGCAAAGTGGCACTCTGGTGCTCCTGAAGCAGTTCAAAGGAGTTCCGGAACCCTTTAAATGGCCGGGCGCCAGGGCAATTGTCCCCTTCTCCCCACCCCATGTCAGTGGACCTGCCTGTACCCTACTTTCCCGACCAGGGCCCTCACCAACCACCCTTCCTACACACATTTTATCATCATGGGTGGTTGGCTGGTGGTCTGTGGAAAGGTTTGCATTTGTCCAAGGGTGGGCAGTAGGCCAAAAAGTTTGGGAACGTCTACACTTGCTCCCTAGTTCGAACTAGGGATGCAAATATAGGCGACCAAAATTGCAAATGAAGTGGGGATTTAAATAACCTGTGCTTCATTAGCATGATCTCACCTGCGCGTTACTCCGCCCAAGAGCTGTTTCGAAAGTGAAAGTGCGTGCTGGGACGCATTAGTTCGAACCAAACCTCCTAAGTAACGTTAGTTCGAACCAAGGGGTTTGGTTCGAACTAACGCGTCCCGGCACACACTTTCACTTTCGAAACAGCTGTTGAGCAGAGTAACGTGCTGGCAAGATCATGCTAATGAAGCGCGCAATATTTAAATCCCTGCTTCTTTAGCAATTTCGGTCACCTACATTTGCATCCCTAGTTCAAACTAGGGATGCAAATGTAGATGTACCCTTTAAGAACCACCGGTCAAGTGGCCTGCATGCACATTCTAACCTTTGCTTTTACACCAATTCACTCAAGAGGCCTTGGGTTAGTGTCATTTGAATTTTACCTCAGTTTCCCTATCCATAAAACAGTGACTGCAAGCCTTTTAATAATGTGAGGATTAATTAGTGTTTATAAAATACCATTTCAAATGTATTATAATTATTATGTACACTAATTGCTAAAACCATATACATTTAGTCTTAAATATCATTTTTATCCAATTTACGATAAAAGGGACACAGAAACCCCTGTTTGATACATTTGTATCTGAGCTTGTCGTAGTCTTGTCACTGCCCAGGCAAAAGGTGCTTTCCATTCAAGATCTTCAGAGTCAGAATGCTGGAAACTCCAACCTTAACAAACAACATGAGAGTTTAGAATTTGATATAACAAATGCCACCCTGTCTTTTAAGAGTCAATCCCATTCTATGGCATTAAGCAATAACAATGTATGGCTCACTGGTATGATTTTAAAAAATTATTAAGTCTTGGGAGTTTATGTTCTTAACCAGCTTACAGGCAGTCCCCGACTTACGTCGGATCCACACTTACGAACGGGGCTTTTCTCGCCCCAGAGCTCGCGGGCGGTGGGACCGCCCAGAGCGCACCGGTGGGGAAAAACCTGGCTCTGGGTCTCCCTGGTGTGCTGGGGGAGACTCCCCAGCACAGCAGGGAGACCCGAGCAAAGCCGCGCAGGCGGCGGGACCCCGCTGCCCGTGCGGCTTTGCTCCTTTGCCCCGGAGACAGGAGCAAAGGAGCAGCAGGGAGACAGGAGCAAAGCTGCAGAGGCGGCGGGACCTCTGCGCCTCCGCGGCTTTGCTTGGGTCTCCCTGGTCTGCTGGGCGGGGAGGGGGCGCAGCTAGTGCGCGCCCCCCCCCCTCCAGCAGACCAGGCTTTTGCATTCTGCTACAAAGACCTTTTACATCTGCACTTGAAAGGGAATCCTCTGAACTGTCATTCATGTTAAAATTCGACACTTACCACCAGGGACTTAACAAGTCTTTGAACTTTCTCACCCATTATCAAGACAGTTTCCCCAATTATCACCTGTAATACCATTAACTCACAAACATCCCACTCTCCCTACCTTTAATATCAGCAATTCACAGACACTTACCTTCCTTCCTCCCCCTTCCCACCCCCCCGCATCCTCCTTCTGTTCTGCAATGTGATTTGTCCTTTTCATATTTGTTCTTTTTTTTAATTGTATCCTTTGGTATATATGGTTGTGACTACTTTCTTCCACTATTTGATCTGAGGATCGTGGGCCAGACCACGAAAGCTCATCATCTAATAAACCATCTTGTTAGTCTTTAAAGTGCTACATTGTCCTGCATTTTGCTTCAGCTACCCCAGACTAACACGGCTACATCTCTACCACTATTGGTAATACCAGCATCTCAATGAAGTGCTTGTTTACTATTAGTAGTAGCACCACTGAAGCAGTGATTCTCAAAGTGCATCTGCAAGCCACCACGAAAGCTCATCATCTAATAAACCATCTTGTTAGTCTTTAAAGTGCTACATTGTCCTGCATTTTGCTTCAGCTACCCCAGACTAACACGGCTACATCTCTACCACTATTGGTAATACCAGCATCTCAATGAAGTGCTTGTTTACTATTAGTAGTAGCACCACTGAAGCAGTGATTCTCAAAGTGCATCTGCAAGCCACTAGTGGTCTGCAGCCAGCTTGAGGCTCAGCCTCTGCCCCCTGCAGTGGGGGGCCCATGCTGCTGCTCCAGCTCCCATCCCTCCCCATGAGGTTGGAGTGCCAGCACTGCACCTGCCCAAGTCTCATGGGCTGAATCCAGCTCACAGGGGGAGCAAGCGGCTCTGCGCGCTGCCACTCCCCTCTCCCTGCCTAGGGGGAGGCTTTCTCCACTGCTTCCATTGGCTGGAATGTGGCCAAAGGGAGCAGTGGGAAGTGGTGCCTGGGAGTGGCGGGAGGCACAAAGCCAAGTAAGCGCCCCCACCTCATCCTCCTTCTGCATAGACCCTCACTCCCATCCTCCTCACACACCCTCCTGCCAAGACCCTGTACTCCCAGCCTGTTCCTACACCCTCCCTTGCTTCTGAACCCTCCCTTTTGGCCAGACACCCCACCCCCAGCCTACTTCTGCATCCTCCCCCCTAGCCAGATACCCCACCCCTGGCCTGCTCACACACCCTCCCTTCCACCCAAATACCCCACCCTCAGCCCACTCCTGCACCCAGCGGGGCTGATAGCTAATGCAGGTCCCAGGGCAGGTGTGGGAGAGGCTCTGCACCCTCAGAGGTGGGGCTGAGAGTAGTCAGTCTTTAGCACCAACTGGATTGCAGAGCTGTCCCCTCTTCCCCAGCTGCCAAAACCATGCAAAGTGGCACTCTGGTGCTCCTGAAGCAGTTCAAAGGAGTTCCGGAACCCTTTAAATGGCCGGGCGCCAGGGCAATTGTCCCCTTCTCCCCACCCCATGTCAGTGGACCTGCCTGTACCCTACTTTCCCGACCAGGGCCCTCACCAACCACCCTTCCTACACACATTTTATCATCATGGGTGGTTGGCTGGTGGTCTGTGGAAAGGTTTGCATTTGTCCAAGGGTGGGCAGTAGGCCAAAAAGTTTGGGAACGTCTACACTTGCTCCCTAGTTCGAACTAGGGATGCAAATATAGGCGACCAAAATTGCAAATGAAGTGGGGATTTAAATAACCTGTGCTTCATTAGCATGATCTCACCTGCGCGTTACTCCTCCCAAGAGCTGTTTCGAAAGTGAAAGTGCGTGCTGGGACGCATTAGTTCGAACCAAACCTCCTAAGTAACGTTAGTTCGAACCAAGGGGTTTGGTTCGAACTAACGCGTCCCGGCACACACTTTCACTTTCGAAACAGCTGTTGAGC